CACGGTGGCGGAAGAGGCCGAGGCCGCAGAGAAGAATACACAGCAACGCGCACGCATGGCGTACTGACAGCAAATGCTTGCATGAGTACCAATTACATGACCACCACAGGCCACAGCATCATATAGGAGCAGGCCACGAGGACCACGCGCAACGTAGAAAGAACTTACCTTTCAACGCCGATCGCACGAGACAGAGGGGCTGCGCAGAGCGAAACAGGCAGCCGAACAGGAGGTGTCACAACAAGAAACATACGAGATGGCAGGATAGTCTGCAAGAGTGCCTCGCGTCGCCGCAGAGGAGAGACTTCGCCGCCGTCTGAAGTACGTCTCTGTCAGTATCCCCGAAAGACATCACAGTAGTGATGCTGCGTGGATTGGTGTGGCAGTCTGTCCGGAATAGACTCAGTCAACCCTGACGCATAAGGCATGTATACATTATGAGATCCAGCAAGTTGTAACGCGGCTGTGACAGGAGCTCGCGCATGCCATCTCGGAAACGAATAGCCGTGTCGTGATCCCACAACGCCCATTTCATGATCTTCCTCCGTACGTGGAATGACATGGAACGCAACACTCGCCAGTCGTCCGACGAATCCGCGTGCTGACGCCCATCGGCCAGGACGAGCGAACGCGCGAAGCGAACGGACGTGTACGGAAGCTGGCCATGATAGCGGCCGAACCCGTGCACTTTCATGATGTCCACGATACACGCAACGGAGAGTACGGTGCGCTCGCCCTGCAGATACTGCGCGATGCTCTCTGCCAGTACGTGAAACGCCCGAATGTTCTTGTATAGGTAACCGAGCCACGCGCTTACTCATGGCTCGCATAGCCGGAGCGTGTGTCAGCATAGAGGGCGACTGCACAACGTCGCAGCACATGGCAACCATAGGCGCTTCCCAGTACACCTGATAGAGAAAGCCAAAAGAGCACACGACAAGCGACAGCGATGCCAGATGCTCAGTGAGCATAGTCCAAACCGTTCGGAATGCACGCGCATCAGCGCGGCTACCCACGCAGTGAATAGCACACCCTGTGCAATCACGCACGCGCAGGTTTGCACGATAGTGACACCAGGCTGGGTGGTATACCACGTAGCGGTGGTTCTCCATGTGCCGATAGCCCTTGCTACAAAACCAACCAAGGTCTGCATGGAACCATCTCCCTGAACGATGGCGGCACTCGCAGTATAGGCACTGCTTCGTGCCAGGGCGCAGCACGGCACTGGCAGAGACGACGCGGAGCGCGAGCGCAAACATGCGCATCATAGGATAGGCGGCCAGAAGGACGCTCACAAGACCAAAAGATCAAGACCTCGGGCCAGCATAGCTACAACAACATGACACCGTAGGCGTCTTCATGAGCAACTGTGACAAGCGTCCACCAGACTACAATAGCAAAGCAACTGAAGATAACACGTCCTCATTTTTTGGGGGGATGGATGCTGCTGAGATGCAATCGCTAAGCATGACGCGGCATGGGTCCCCAAAAAGTGGGGACCTCATGGTGTAGTATGGCATACCGTAACAAACCATGGCATAGCGTATCATGGCCTATACGTATGTGTGCTCTTAAGTCGGCGTTTCGCCGTAGGCATCTTCAATAGCAAAGGTCACCACTCCGTTCTGCCATCGCGAACAGACTACAATAGCAAAGCAACTAAAGAGCGTACTCTCTCTCTCTCTTTGGGAGGGATGGATGCCGATGAGCTGCAATAGAATAGCATAGCACGGCATGCCCCCCCCCCCCCCCACACACACACAAAGTGGGGACCTCATGGTGTGGCATAGCATACCGCAACAAACCATAGCATAGCGTATCGTGCCTATACGTATGCGTGCCATTGGGTCGGCGCATCGCCGTAGGCATCTTCAATGGCAACGGCGACCACTCCGTCCTGCCATGACGAATAGACTACAATAGCAAAGAAACAATGGCGATGACGCGTAACCCCATTTTCTTTTGGGAATGGATGGAGCTCAGCTGCAATAGCATAGCAGAGCACGAAATGGGTCCCCCAAAAGTGGGGACCTCATGGTGTTGAGCTGCATAATGGCAAAGCATGGCACGGCATGGGTCCCCCAAAAGTGGGGACCTCATGGTGTAGCGTAGCATACCGCAACATGCCGTAGCATAGCGTATCACGGCCTATACGTATGTGTGCTCTTGGGTCGGCGGCGCTTTGCCGTAGGCATCTTCAATAGCAAAGGTGACCATTCCGTCCTGCCATCACGAACAGACTACAGAAGCAACGCACATATAGATGACGCGCCCCTACCCTTTTTTTTTCTGGGGGGGGGGGGATGGATGAACTGCCAGAGCATGGCAGAGCAAAGGCCCGACCCTCCCAATAATGGGATCATGATGTCGCATATCACACCGTAACAAAGCATAGCAAAGCGTATCATTGCCTATACGCATGTGTGCTCGTGGTTCGCCTCTCCGTAGGCGGCTTCAATAGCAATTGTGACCACTCCGTCCTGCCATCACGAATAGACAAAACACAGACCACACAGCATGGAGCATAGAGCATGACGTCGCACTCGTCGGCGCTCGTCGTCCCTCGTCACCACTCGTCGTGCCTCGTCGTCGCTTGTCGTCACTCGTGGTCCCTCGTCGACGCCCGTCGTCACTGGTCGTCGTTGTCCTCGTCGTCGTCGCTTTCACCATCGGGGTTTAGGGTTTAGGGTTTAGGGTCTAACAGGGCAAGGCCAGGAATACCTACCTGCATAGGCATTCACCTGCGGTGGCTATCAATCCCTCCCGCATCTCCACCCCCACATAAAGATCATCTCTCTTCTCATGTTATACCGTGGTTGTAGCATAGCATAGCATAGCATAGCAAGCGCTTAGCAAAGAGACGAGGTCACCAAAATTTGAGGAACCTGATGTTATAGCGTGGCTGTAGCATAGCATAGCGTAGCGAAGCAGAGGTAGCAAAGAGGCGAGGTCCCCAAAAGTTGGAGAACCTTTTGTTACAGCGTGGCTGGAGCACAGCATAGCATATAGCTAAACAGATAGGCGCTGCGAGGCGCGCGCGGCTGCCGCGCGCATGTGCACTCTGTCGTATTTTTTTGCAATGGATTACTGACATGGACACATCTTGCAAGAGCAAAATGTTGAGTTTATATGATTTTTACAATGGAAAGTACACATCAGAAACGAAGAATGATCAGGATATAGTATTTTTCCAATGGATTATTGACATGGACACATCTTGCAAGAGCAAAATGTTGAGTTTATATTGTTTTTTTGCAATGGAAAGTGGACCTCAGAAGTGCGCGGTTGCAAGGATATAATGTTTTTTTCCATAGGGAAAGTGGACCTCAGAAGTTCACCAACCGTCAGGAGGCATGGGGTGGTAGAGTTCAGGGATTAATGATCAGAAGGAATAGAGATTTAGGGTTTAGGGTTTAGGGTTTATGGTCAACAAGGCAAGGCGAGGAATAGCTACCTGCATAGGCACTCACCTGCGGTGGCTATCAAACCCCCCCGCATCTCCACCCCCACATAAAGATCATTTCTCCTCTCATGTTCGACCGTGGCTGTAGCATAGCATAGCATAGCAGAGCAAACGCTTAGCGGGAGGCTAACCCTGACGGGGGCGGGACCCTAACGGGCGGGACCCTAACGGGCGGGTCGGGCGAAACCCTAACGGGCGGGACCCTAACGGGCGGGACCCCAACGGGCGAGACCCTAACGGGCGGGTCGGGCGGGCGGGACCCTAATGGGCGGGCGGGGCCCTAACGGGCGGGACCCTGACGGGCGAGTGGTTTACATAGCCCACTACAGGATGTCGTCCCACGTCCAGTCACCGCACCTGCCGCAGACGGTGTACGTGCCCTTTTCTTGCCCATGGCGGGCGCCCCTGACGGAGCCGGGGCGTAGTGTTCCTCCAAGACCGCGGCTGCCAGCTCCAGGCGCCGCCTCTGGTTCCCAGCGGGCGTGCTTCGCCATGCACGCAGGAGGGCGCGAGCGCTGGCCCGCTGGCGGCTGTCGGCGCTCGCGCCGATGCCACGCCTCCTCCGCAGGAGGCGCGATCGTCCCCGCCCGAGGGGGCCTGCGGCAGCCTGTCTGCCCCCAGGGTTCCCGGGCCGAATCTGACGACGACGACGACGACGGAAAGAATCCTGCGACTTGCCTTGGGAAAATGTGCACTGTCCCCCTGGAGCCCCGAATTTCATGACCCTCGGGGTGTGATTATCGGCGGCGCAGAGTTAATTCATGTAATCTTGAAGAGGTCCGCGCGGATTTCTGGAGTCGGCGCTGGAGCCACCCTCCCTACGCGCACAAAGATGAAGAGCAGAAGTCTCCCATCCGTGTTTGCCGCGATTACGCTGATGGTGAGGAATACGTTGTGTCCATACGTTTTCCTTTCTCTGCATGTACAAACTGCAGACTATGTATGCATGTAGGTATGTAGGATGGTAAGTAGGTGCTTGTGTTGTATGTGTGTACAGATAACTGCATGCATGCATCATTGCATGCGTATCTGTATAATACATGTATATATGTATGTATGTATGCATGTATGCATGCATGTATGCATGCATGTATGTATGTATGTATGTATGTATGTATGTACGTATGTACGTATGTGTGTGCATGTCTGCCTGTCTGTCTGCCTGCCTGTCTGTCGGTCTGTCTGCATGTGTGTATGTATGTATGTGTATTTATGTCTACGTCTGTATGTGTATGTATACATATATATGTATGTATGTATATGTATGTGTGTACGTATGTATGTATGTGTATGTGTCTGTGTATGTGTATGTGTATGTGTATGTGTATGTGTATGTGTATGTGTATGTGTATATGTATGTGTATGTGTATGTGTATGTGTATGTGTATGTGTATGTGTATGTGTATGTGTATGTGTATGTGTAGATATTTACATCTTCATATACATACACACATATGTCTATATATATGTATATATATATATACATACACATTTCATCCATGTATCCAGAGGATCGGCATTCTTCCCTTGTCCGCACAGAGCTCGATCAGCCAGGGCACGCCACGCCACCGCTAATGCAGGATGAGGATTGAGAAATCGGGAGGGGGCCGTCGCCCAGCAGCACCTTGGGCGATGATTCGTCAGTTGGGTTCCGGCCCCGCTTGTGGGCGCCGTCGCTGCCGCCGAGACTTGCTGACCGCCCTCTTCAGGCTCCTCCCAGGCGGCCAGGAACTCTCGTTGATCGTCCCCCCGATTCGTCTTCTCAATCGTCATCCTGCTCCAGGCCCCAACCGCCCCCCCTCGCAGCGCCGCCAGCCATGCCCCGCCACGCCCGCCGCCCCGTGCTGGCCGCCGCCCTCGCGTGCGGTGCGCAGCCGCCCCCGCCGCCTCTTTCTGCGGTCTCCGAGGGCGCCTCTTTGCGCGCGGCCCTCGCCGGGCCCTTGGAGGCCCTCGGCGGCCCTCGGCGGGCCCTCGGCGGCCGTCGGCGGCCTGCGGACCTGCTCCAGAGCCGCAGGGGCCCCGCTGGAGGCCCTCGGCGGCCGCCACCCGGCGGGGTGACTGCGCGGGGAAGGGGGGGGGAGAAGGGGGAGGGGGAGGGGAAGGGTGAGGGGGAGGGAAGGGGGAGGGGAGGGGGGGGAGGGGGGGGAGGGGAGGGGGGGGTGAGGGAAGGGGGAGGGGAGGGGGGAGGGGAGGGGGGGGAGGGGAGGGAGGGGAGGGGAGGGGGGGAGGGGAGGGGAGGGGTGGGGGGCGGGGGGGAGGAGGAGGAGCAGGGAGGATGGCAGGAGGATGCGCGTCCTCGGTCCGGCAGTCGCCGGCGGACGAGGTGGCAGAGGTGGCGCGGAGGAGGGAGGGCAGCCGTTCGCGGTGGTCGGGCCGTCGCTGTCGGGGGACGCGAGGACGCAGGGGAGCCACAGGGGAGGACCGCTGTTCTCGGCAGGCGGCCCTTGAGGGCAGGGCGCATGGTCGACGGAGAAGGACTGTTCCCTGAACAGCTTGCTTGTAAGGGTTCTGTGGGCGCGCCGCCAAACGGGGGGATCCTGAGGCACGCCCCCCCCATCCCCGTGCGGGGTGCGCACGGCCTCGTGCGACCAGGGCGGCGGGCATGTGTGCGGCGCTGCGCCGCGCCGCTGGGGCTCGCGCGCTGGCTTCTTCCGCCTCCCTCCCTGCCTTGTTCCCCCCCTCATCCTTCCTCCTCCGCATCCCCCTCCTGCCTTCTCCTCCTCCTCCTCCTCCTCCTCGTCCTCCTCGTCCTCCTCCTCCTCCGCCTTCTCCTCCTCCTCCTCCGCCTCCGCCTCTTCCTCCTCCTCCTCCTCCTCCTCCTCCTCCTCCTCTTTCTCCTCCTCCTCCGTCCGTAGCCATTTTGGCTTAAGAAAAACATCTCCCGAGGCTGGTCCAGGTTGACCTCATTGATTCCTCGGATCCGTGGCCCTGCCCAGGGTGGAGGTAGTGTTTCTCGAACACTGTCCACCACTGTTCGCTCGCATTTTGCAACCTCCAGTCGTAGCCATGGTCCGCAAAGCAATTCGGAAGCAGACGAAGGAGGAATCCCGTCTCGACAGGGGAGATCGCGATCATCAGCACCGTGGCAGTTACTCGGGAAGTGCATCTCGGAGGTCGTCGCCATCACGTGGGCAGCGCATGATGTCCCCCTCACCGAGTCGCAGCCGTCGCAGTTCCAGTCGCCCACGGGGCCACATCAGTGTGCATGGTTCCAGTCAGGGAAGCGATGCTCCCATAGCGTCCAATGTCATGAATGAGTTACGCGCGATGATGAGCTCCATCGGGTCCAACATCACCGCTTCGATCGACGCGTCGACGGCCCAGCTTCAGTTGCAGATCACTTCGCACCAAGCGGCACTCATCCAGCTTGACACGCGGGCTCAGCACACCACAGAGGAGCTACGGAGTCACAAGTCTCAGATTGAGCAGCTCCGAGTCCAGCTCCAACAAGTTGCCCAGGCAGCATCGTTGACGGCTTCATCATCCTCAAGCGCGTCGGTGTCCAGTGGGTCGTGGACACCAGTTACCAGTCAAGATCATGGGCGTGGACAACAAGTGGGTACGAATCCACTGGTGCGGTATGTTGGCACATTCCCTCGACCAGTTCATAAGACGGCTCGGCAGGCTCATTTCGATCAAGTTCTAGCTGCGTGCCCTCATCTTCTTCAGGGTGCGGAAGTCGTCTTGCATGCCGTGGCACAGATCTATAAGCTAGTTTTCGCCCCCCTCGCCTCTGCCAAGCAGTTATGCGAGAACGTGTCGTCGGCCCTGCTGCAGCGGGTGGACCCTCGGAATGGAGCAAGTCATCAGTTTCGTGCGCGCCAGGACCTCCCGATTAACGTTCGTGATCGCCAGCGATCCACCAGTCGGATCTGCCAGCCAATCCTTGACCTGCCCAAGCAGCGCCAGTCATGGACGTCGGAGTGCAAGCCCGGCGTCAACGGCTTCAAAGGGGAGATGATTGTGGCCGCGCCTGCGGATGCATTCGTTATCGTCAAGATCACCTTGCGCTCTGAGAGCACAGAGGAGTTCCAGGCCGCCCAGGAAGAGTTCAACACGCGGGGTATCTCGGCCGAGCAGATCCAGCAGATCTCCAACTCTGCCCACCGCGCCGAACGGATCGGCCAGCACCTGAGAGGGCCCCCATGAGCGGCATTTTCGCGAGCAGGCGCCTGCCAGTCATTTGCCTCAGCCGCTGCGGGGGAACGAGCACCCCTTGAAGGATGCGTGCTCGAGTGGCAGGGGCGCGCCCGCCTGTGGGCCCGCGCAGAGGGAGAGCCCGGCGCATCGCCAGAGTGATGCGAGCTCGCGCACAGAGGCCGACGAGGGCCCTGACGGCTGCATGCCAGTAGTCTCGCGTCTTGGTTGTTCTTTCTTTGCCATGCCGCATTGTTTTTGCTGCAGTGCCATCGCCCCATGCATCCCTGATTGTCCGCTCGGCATATGTAGTTGGAACGCGCAGACGGCCCTGGGCTCCGCCCATTCGAACCAAGCAAGCTTCCGACGTAAACAGAATCACGTGCGTTCTCTTCTTCGCAAGTTCCAGGTCTTCGGGGCCCAGGAGTCATGGGGGGGAGGGGGGCGTTGTGCATCTTCAGCGTGAGGTTCGGTCCCATCAGGTCTTTGGCAGTTTCTGTGGGTCTCCATCTGCAGGCGGTAATCTTTTCCTCGTCTCCAAGCAGCTCCTTGGTCTGTGGTGCTGTGTCGAATGCAGGACTACAGTACCTGGTCGCATCAATTTACTGCGCCGTTCTGGAAATAATGGCAACACCCAGCTCCTCAAGCCCTACGTGGATCCAGAGTGGAGCATCAATGAGATCAAGGGGGTGTTCGCCCAGATCAAGAGAGCCTCGGGGCCCCTGGTGAGCGCCCGACCTTCCTCTCTGGGGGGTTCAACTTTTTGGCGCTGGGTGAGCCCTGAGTGGGCGCTTCCTTGGAGCTTGAAGGTTCCCCCAACAATCGGTTGGCCTCGCTGGTTTCGTTTTCCTCGCCGTATCCGGCGGAGGTGCTGCAAGAGGGCGACGCGCGCAGGCTTCAGAGGGATGGCACGTGGTCCGATGGGCGTCTTCATCGAGTTGACTGCTCCCTTCCCGCCCAGGCAACTCTGGCGTCGTTTGGCCTGCGCCCGGTAGTTCGGAACCTTCTGATCACGCTCCTGCATCCCTGAAGCTGGAACCTTTGACCCCTAGAGGGCCCGCCAGTGCCCCCGCCCGGGTTCCCCGCCGCAGGGGTGCCTCAAGAAGTCGCGCAGGAACTCTTTGTTCCCAAAGAGTTAGGTCAGGCCCTGGACGAGCAGTTTCAGGGCCCCAGAGACGCGCTCTACTACGCTGCAGGTCGCGCCAAGGAGCACGCAGCGCAAGGCGGCGCCGAATCGCTGGAGGAATATGTCTCTTGCCGTTTAAATCTTGCGCGTTCTGTTCGAGGTGGTCCGTGAATGCCCGTTCGTGGGCAGGTTTTTTGATTTGGAATTGCGCTCCTGGGGTGATAGGGCTAGTTTTGGTCTTCGCTCGGCAAGTCTGATGAGAGATATCTGTTCCAAGCGAGAACCGAGCTGGCGCGATCTGTTGGGGGTCCAAGGCAGACGCTGCCGAAGCGAGGTATGCCGCTGCCATCCAGCGCGCCCGCGACCTTTCGCTCGCCTGGCGGTCGAGCGGTCGCAAGATCAGCCTGCCGCGCCGCAGATTTCCGACGTAGACGGCCAGCGCTATTCGGACGGCCGAGCACGCTCAGATATTCTCTTCAAGCATTGGGGCCGAGGTTTTCAGGGCGCCACTGCATCTGATGAAGGTATAGCTAAGATTTGCTCTGGGATTGTTCCTAGTTCGGCTCATGAGTACCATTGTTGTGCTGACGATACATCGTTGTATTCGTGGGTGGCTCCTGAACGCGTGTTCCTAGATGGTCTGCATTGGAAGAACGACGCGGCTCCTGGCCCTGCCGGGGCCCCTGATGCTGCCCGGGAGAATGCAGGAGAAAGTGGTCAACATATATTATGCCAGGTATACCTCTGGCTGATGCAGGCAGGGCAGTCGCCGCCAGACTTTAATGACGCACGTGGCGTCTTTCTACCAAAGGGTTGCCCTGGCGGAGATAATAGCGCCAGAACACCTGCCTGCGCGCGGCACCTCTCCTTGAGCAACTCGGGCGGTGAGATTGCCGCCAGCTGCGTGGGCTTCGCTGTCAGCAAGATTGCGGAGGGCACTGCGGGGGGGGGGGGCAGAAAGGATTGGTCAAGGGTCGCCAGCTTGGGCGGCGTTTTTCCCTGGGCGCGGCGTGTCCGAGGTGGGCTGCCATGGATGCCTGCCCCGGGTTTGAAACGACGCTTATATATGGATATATGTATAGTTATGTATATGTGTATGTATGTATGTATGTATGTGTGTATGTATGTATGTATATATATATATATATATATATATATATATGTATAGAAAAACGCGCATTTCCCGGCGTCCTGCACAATCATATTTGGGCGGCGCTTAACAAGGTGAGCTCGCCCAAGTACGCGCGGCGAGCGACCCGAGCCTTGTGTTCCAGCATGGGGGCGAGCACCAGTTTTCATGGGCGTGAGCTGGCATTTCTGCATATCGCGAGGGGTCTCAAGCAAGGGTGCCCGGTTCCTGGATTTATCTTTTGCGCGTGTGCATCAACCCTGTCATCGCTCGGATTCGTCGCAGGCGCTCGGCGCCCCCCATTTCCATAGGTGCCGTTGCCGACGAGATTGGAATTGCATGCAAAGATGTGCTTCAGTATTCTAGGTGCACTAGCGAAGAGTGCGTTTGCGACGGGGCTCGTGCTGAATTTTGCCAAACGCGTTCTGCGTGTTCCTGATCAGCGGTCCCGCGAAACTGAAATGCCGGATCTCA